ATCCGGGAGCTGTCTTTTGAACTTTTGAACAGAAGGAGCAGCAAGAGCAGGAGCAGCAGCAGCAGAAGGAAAAAGTAACTAAAAAACAATCCTTTTCTATGGGTTTCAGAAGTTACATTAGGCACTTTTTGGTCGCAATGTTGATGCTTTTCCGTCCTTCAGGGCCCTGCTGTTTGAGCGTGGCGGAGGCACCGTTTCTGAGCTTGGAAATTCCCATCCGGGAGCTATCTTTTGAACAGAAGGAGTAGCAAGAGCAGGAGCAGCAGCAGCAGCAGCAGAAGGAAAAAGTAATAACTAAAAAATAATCCTTTTCTATGGGTTTCAGAAGTTACATTCGGCACTTTTTGGTCGCAATGTTGATGCTTTTCCGTCCTTCAGGGCCCTGCTGTTTGAGCGTGGCGGAGGCGCCGTTTCTGAGCTTGAAAATTCCCATCCGGGAGCTGTCTTTTGAACAGAAGGAGTAGCAAGAGCAGGAGCAGCAGCAGCAGCAGCAGGAGGAAAAAGTAGCTGAAAAATCATCCTTTTCTATGGGTTTCAGAAGTTACATTAGGCAGTATCATCCTTTTCTATGGGTTTCAGAAATTACATTAGGGAGTTTTTGGTCGCAATTTTGATGCTTTTCCGTCCTTCAGGGCCCTGCTGTTTGAGCGTGGCGGAGGCGCCGTTTCTGAGCTTGGAAATTAGGAAGTTTTTGGTCGCAATTTTGACGCTTTTCCGTCCTTCACTGCCATGGTGTTTTCCCATCCGGGAGCTGTCTTTTGAATCCCATCCGGGAGCTGTCTTTTGAACAGAAGGAGCAGCAAGAGCAGGAGCAGCAGCAGCAGAAGGAAAAAGTAACTAAAAAATAATCCTTGTCTATGGGTTTCAGAATTTACATTAGGCACTTTTTGGTCGCAATTTTGATGCTTTTCCGTCCTTCAGGGCCCTGCTGTTTGAGCGTGGCGGAGGCGCCGTTTCTGAGCTTGGAAATTCCCATCCGGGAGCTATCTTTTGAACAGAAGGAGCAGCAAGAGCAGGAGCAGCAGCAGCAGAAGGAAAAAGTAGCTAAAAAATAACCCTTTTCTATGGGTTTCAGAAGTTACATTATGCCTTTTTTGGTCGCAATTTTGATGCTTTTCCGTCCTTCAGGGCCCTGCTGTTTGAGCATTAGGGAGTTTTTGGTCGCAATTTTGATGCTTTTCCGTCCTTCAGGGCCCTGCTGTTTGAGCGTGGCGGAGGCGCCGTTTCTGAGCTTGGAAATCTGAGCTTGAAAATTAAGGAGTTTTTGGTCGCAATTTTGACGCGTTTCCGTCCTTCACTGCCATGGTGTTTTCCCATCCGGGAGCTGTCTTTTGAACAGAAGGAGCAGCAAGAGCAGGAGCAGCAGCAGCAGAAGGAAAAAGTAGCTAAAAAATCATCCTTTTCTATGGGTTTCAGAAGTTGCATTAGGGAGTTTTGGGTCGCAATTTTGAGCCTTTTCCGTCCTTCAGGGCCCTGCTGTTTGAGCGTGGCGGAGGCGCCGTTTCTTTGAACAGAAGGAGTAGCAAGAGGAGGAGCAGCAGCAGCAGGAGGAAAAAGTAGCTAAAAAATAATCCTTTTCTATGGGTTTCAGAAGTTACATTCGGGAGTTTTTGGTCGCAATTTTGATGCTTTTCCTGCTGTTTGAGCGTGGCGGAGGCGCCGTTTCTGAGCTTGGAAAGCTAGAAGATGGCTACTTTTCGTGTAATTTGGGAAAGCAACGTTAGGCCGCTGGGGCCGTTGCTGGCAGGCCCAGTCCGTCCTTCAGGGCCTTGCTGTTTATAGGTTCAGAAAGCAACGTTAGGCAGTAGGGGCCGTTGCCGGCAGGCCCGGTCTGTCCTTCAGGGCCCTGCTGTTTGGGCGTGGCGGAGGCGCCGTTTCTAAGCTTGGAAAGCTGGAAAACGGCTACTTTTCTTGTAGGTTCAGACAGTAATGTGGGGCATTGCCGTGCTGTGTGGCAACCTTAAGCTGGAAACTTCATCAGGTCTGCACGCGCCACTGGTTGGTGCGACACTGCCGGCCGCTGGGATTGCGATGCGTTACCCGAATTTGGCCGGAAGCCAGTGTTGAGTGCACCACCGTGCCGCATGTTGGACATGCATGCGAGTATGTGCGGCCTGCGAGCAGGCCATTGGCAACGCGAAATTGTTTGCCGCAGCCCTTACTGCGGCGGTGATCGACGCGCCCGGTTGCCACAGGGCTTTGTACAGACTTGGCACAGTACGGGCAGATGTATGTGTGCAGTTGTGGCGGTGCTGTGTTGGGCCCTACAGCACGCGGCTGGGTCGATGAATGGATCGCATCCATTTTTTGACCGGTAGCAACCTCATTTGTAGTTTTCTCTTCGCACGTCAGCGCCGCGGCAACTGTTTTTTCCCTACTGCTTGCCTGCAAGAGGCCGGCCGACGCCATGTCAGCAGAGCGCATTTCCACGGGATCTGTCGAATGATCATGTGTGCGTGCTTTCTTGTTTGCAGCGATTGCTTCCCATGTCTCCTGGATAATGTGCCTGCGGCGAATTCTTTTCCGGAGGGGCTCTAGGCGAGCTGCACTGAAAGCAGCAGCGCGCTTACGGACTGCATGCTGCAATTTCGCAGCATGGCATGCGTCGCATATCTGCGTTCCATTTTCGCCAGGGGGCCGCCTGGAAATAAAGTTCGAAAAGTGGTGCCGCGACCGCCGCTGGTGGCAGACCGCGCATTTCCAAGAGCCGCGGGTCTTGGTCTGGCATTGCAAACACAATCGACGTTTGGGATCCCGCGTTTGCCAAGCTACATGGCTAAAGTATTCTTTCGTCTGCTTTGTCTGGCATAAAAAACATTGCTTTTTTGCATCACACGACAGACAAACGCGATACATGCTCCATCGCCAGTCAGCATCCATTCTTTTGCTTTCAAACAACTCTTTATGATTCACTGATGTGCCTTTCCCGTGCGAAGACTATGTCTCGCGCACGGGGAGGAGGACACACCACCCCCGAAAAACGGAAAGCAAAAGGATGGATGCTTGAGCTTCATGGCAGGGATAGGGACTAGCAAAATTTCAATTCAACACACAAGTATATACTATTTGATGCATATATATATATAATGTATATATAAAGCATCCAGGCTGACAACTCACAGAACACTCGAATGAAGCCAGCTTTCTCTTTTCCGGGGTCGGCGGCAGGGGCGGCAGCCCTTAAATAATATGGTTAACGATGATGGTTGGTGGTTGACCTATCCGAAAAATATGGTGATTGTATGGTTTAATATGGTGCAAAATCCCATTGATGATCATACTTAGTTACTTATCTGGTTGGTGGTTTCAACCTACCCCTCTGAAAAATCATGGAGTTAGTCAGTTGGGATGATGAAATTCCCAATATATGGAAAGTCATAAAATTCCATGGTTCCAAACCACCAACCAGTAATGTTCATCACTATTCCCATGATCGTCATCTTCAAAGACAGGATCAGTCTCAACATCTTCAGATGCTGCATACAATAGATCCTGCTAGATCCAAAGAACCTACGCCCGTGCTTTTCCAAACTAGAAATTGCTAGAGATGAGTTGAAAAATATGCGGATACCAAAAGCTTTAAAGATTGTACTGCCAGGGCCCCATTTCTTGAGTTCTACCACACTGAAAATGATCTCAGAATCAGAGAAACTGGATGATGTTCCCTTTGAATAGAACACCTTTTCGTGGTTTTCATCACAGTGTTTCCTCTCTCAAACTGCCCATAAAACACATCCATCTCATTTCCTCCTCCCTTTTCAGCCTTTCCACGCCTTGCAGGCTACAAAGATACAGCCCAGGGCGACCACGTCATAGCTGTCCCTCTCAGGGGTTGGTAACTGTCCCATTTTGGGAAAAAATGGGACATCACCTAAAAAAGTAGCCATAAATTATAGACCATCATAGACCATATACCATTCATGCTTGGGTGATGTTCTAACCATGGGGACATCAGTCATGACCCATGGCCTCTCTCCAATGATCACTTCATGGTTGGGGTGGTAGTACTGCTGCACGTAGTAGCAGCTCAGCAGCGTCACTTGCGACGTATCCAGTTCCGAGGTCGAGCGGTTTTGGGTGTTGGCCACCTGGGAAGCTGCGAACGCTGGTTTCGTCACATTTACCATCTGATTATTTAACATAGCCATGGAAAATCACCATTTTTAATAGGTAAACCCAGGTAAACCATCTATAAATGGGCCATTTTCCATAGCTATGTTAGTTTACCAGAGGGTAAAAGCATCAGTTAAAATCAACAAAGTTTGTTTAAGCCTTCTTAAGAACCTGGTTGGTGGTATAACTACCCTTCTGAATCTGAAAATATGAGTTAGTCAGTTGGGATGATGAAATCCCAATAGAAAAAGGTTCGAAACCACCAACCAGGTACCCTTCTTAAGAACGCTATTCTGATTCCTGATTTCAGCGAATTGGTTGATTGGTTTCAGAATATTTAGGTCATGGATGTCATGGTAATGGCATGGGACTTCTGGAGCATCAGCTAAAATATCTTCAGCCACAAGTCATCCCAGAACGTGGCTCATGTTTGCCTTGTTTTGCTGGGTACATTGAAGCTGGCTCACTTCCTCCAACGTTGTGGCTGGAACATTGCTTGGAACTCAGGGAAACATCTTTCGTTTTTGGGGATGGAGAAAAACCTCAAGGTTGTGGCGGGAAAATCCATCATGAATAGATGATCTTCATGGATGTTCCCATCAAACCCTCCATTTCAGGAATTTCCTAGCTTGCCATGTTGACACCGAACTGGCTCATGGAACAGCATGGAACCATCAAACAGCAACAGCCATCGCTAACGAAACTTACGGGCGCCAAGACACATCAAAGAGTTTCTTCACCACCGGTTTCGCACGAGAACAGGCTGAAATCACATTCTTTTCCCGCAATTCCTGGTGGGATTGCTAGGGCTACAGGAACTGCTTGGGAACTGCTGGAAAAATGAGCCAAGTACTTACATGGCTTTGGCTGCACAGGCGAATTTCAAAATATACAGTAGCGGTTGGTGGTTGTTTGTTTGAAGGAAAACCGCGAAGTAGGAAGAAGTAGTTACAGATGTTCATACCTCCAATCTGGTCTTAAGACATGTCTTCACCAAACCCCAACTGACGTTTTCACCAACTAGCCCTAACGATTCTACGAGACCAGCCGGGGGCCCAAGCCAGCAGCCGTTTCTATTGATCGTCTTGTTTAGTGAGAAAGCCTGGCTATGGTAAATCTAAGCACGAGGTGAGTCATCTTCAAAATGGATCATGGTAAATATATTCCATGTCAAATCCACTGGGTAGGGCAGCTTCTCAACACATTCAGAGCATGTCAGCTGAGTTCATCTAGAAATCACCAAGTCTGGTGGACCCTTGCCACATGAAGAACTGTCCCCGACCCAAGTCATGTGGATCTTTCCGATTGGGAAAAGATCTATCCTCTGGGTGTTCTCAGAATATACCAACTTTCGCGATTTTCTGGAAGTGCTTCACTTTAGAATGTTAAACTCAGTTCTTGCGAGTAATCTTAGATTCTGCTGTTGACCACTTCTCCATCAGCCCCCAGCCGCCCCCAGCCTTTTGAGCCTCGCTTTGCCAGGGGGTGGGGGGCGGCACATACACCTGCAAGGCCGGCAGGTGGTAATGGCGATGACGTGGGATTCACCTGCGATTTTTACCATCCCAAGTCATCACTGTGGCTTGATGGCTGGGATTACAAAACCATCCTCAAGTTTGATAGGTTTGTGATGGTTTATGGCATTGGGTTGCCCACATTACTCATTCTTCATTTCAAAATGGAGAATTGTCCAGGATAGAAACGCCCCAAAGAAAGAGATACAACTATGATACAACATATGCTATTTCAGGATATGATATGTGTCAAAATTTCCGATGTCCAAGCTTTCCATTTATATTTCATTGCAGATTTCAGTGTAAACTAGAACGCCGTTTCCCCTAATTCTCCGCCAAAATCAAGCTGTTGATGAAGTATCAGCAATCACAATTCAAATCTCCATTTTTGTGGCTTAAAACCCCCATTTTGGTGCCCATACCTGCCCCCATACCTGGCACCTTCGGAGCCTTTTTGGGGGGTTCGCCCTCCACGGGCGTTGCCGGCGGCGTGCACTGCGGCGTCTCGGGCCCCTCTGCAGCGGGCGGCCCGGTGACACACCTTCGTCCGGCGCCGCAGCGCGGAGGCGCGCCACAGGCGCCGAGGCGGCGCGTCCGTTGCCCCCGTGGTGTCCATGGCGTCTGTGGCCATGGCGGGGGAATGGATGAAGAATCTGCTGATGAAACATGCGGGTGTTCGGGATATAGCGACCCTCCACGATGCCAAGTAAAATCTGATTTAACACCTGAGAATCGAAGCTGTTTGATCTTTTTAAAGGAGGCTATTTTAATGGATGTACCCAAAAAAAATCGGAATGAAACTGCGAAATACTGATTAAAATGGTGCTATCATAGGACATGGTCACTGATGAAATACGCTGCAACCCGCACAACAATTGCAATCACACTATCAAACAGATGGAGCTATACGGGCTATAAAACGCTACGTATAGAAGTAACTGCAAAGTGGATGAACATTGATTTTAGATGGGATGAAAACCACTAGTGAACCAGATAAAAACATGTCTTAAGTTGGTTTAAAAAAAAAAGAACAATAAATACTTTATTTGGAAGCTGAGGGTCCGAGAACACGATTAAGCGACCTGTCTAGGATTCATGTTGGGATCTGGGATGCGAAGATTTTTGACGGGTTAGGATTTTACTGGGTAAATTCAACTGTGGACGTGCAGTAATTCTTGAAGTTCCAAAAGCTTCAGAGGGCCCCGAGTTTTTCTGGTTTTCCTTTCAGAATGAAGAATCTTCATTATGGAAGCTATCAAGATGGGGTTTCTTCGCTGAAGTGGTATATACTCAGGACCTAAAGACTACGCTCTGAGAATTTTCTGACTTCGCCGCCAGTTGCTGGTTGAGTGGCTCCAACATCAGTATAAGGTGCTGGCGTATCTACTGGCATTGAACCAGGCAGTTTCGGCCAGCATGGACGCGCAGCAGTCTGACAGGGTAATGCTCCTCCAATGGCAACTCATGTCAGATTAACATGCAGATCGAAAATTCTGAAGGATTTGCGATCCAACCCCCAACAAGTACCCTCTGGTAAACTAACATAGCTATGGAAAATCACCATTTTTAATGGGTAAATCCACTATAGATGGCCATTTTCAATAGCTATGTTAGTTTACCAGAGGGTATGTTCATCCATTTTCCAGAATGGAAAGATCCACCATGCTATTAAGTGCGGTAAACCATCTATTTCTATGGGCCATCGAAATCCCATGGCTATGTTAGTCATAACCAGAGGGTAAGCCAAATCTTCTAGATCGACTCAGCACATCCAAGTTGGAACTCCATCAGAGTTGGGACCGCGGTTGACATCTGACATGAGCTCTGCACTCGCGATAACTGGGGGATACCAAGTGTGTCTGGACATGGAGTATACAAAAAACCCAGTTATGGCATCTAACGGCCGGCCATCTTTCTATGAAAATGATGACAAACCAGTGGATGAAAAGGGTTTTCCATGGGTTTTCCCATCATTTTGAGGTGCCAAAACTATATATACTGTAATGCAGAATATTTCTGGCTATATATCATATTCCAGTATATCCCTACTATATGCCCATGGTATTCCCACCATATCTACAACCAACAGCTACCATCAGGCGCCGTGAAAGCGCGCGGCCTTCGTCGGCTGCAAGACCTGTGACGACTGGAAGTCCCTTCGAGGTCCAGGTTCAGTTCCAAATGATCCAAATGGCTTTAGAGTAACTTCCAAAAAGATGGTTAAATAGTGGTTAAATCTATATTGATCTATTACTATTACAGACTGCATAAGCTGCATACAATTCTATCACTAGATTTTGGTGTCCTATCATATTTAAGGGGTCGCCATTTATCGTGGTTGACATTCGCCAGGGATCATCCTCCTAAGGCCGCCGATTGGGCATCGAACACGAACCTCCAACCTCCAACAGCTACATGGCTCACAAAAAAACCCTTCAATTCTTGAGAGAATACTTGGCTAGCAGTGAAGTTCAAAACTCACCTTCGTGACAAAAAAGATTGCAGCAGAAAACCCAATGAATCTCTCACAACTTCCACAAAATCCGGTTCAAAAAATCATCCACCAACGTGCCCTGAAAAACCCAACAAAATCGAGAATTCGACCCACACCAACCCTCTCCCAGGCCTCTCCCAGGCCTGGCACATGGGACAATCTGCTTGGATTTCTGTCACCATCTGATTGTATATGGAAACCCTGAAAATCCTTGGAAAACCCCCAACTCCCATCGTTTAAATCGAACCATTTTCCCTACCAAACATGGTCATAACTTCTTGTGCATCAGAAACCATAAATGTGTCCTGTTTCATGTGGGAAACCCCATTTCTGCCATAAATCTAGCAAACTTGGGGCTGGTGAAAATATCATCCACAAAAATTGTGACTTTGGGGATGTTTTTTTTTGGCTTTACCACATTACAACCTCACAATAGTTGCAAAGGTCCATTATTCCTCGGCATCGTTGCTTTGATTCCTCCACTTTCGTTGCTGAATCGCCCATGTGTGGTGGTTTCGTCCATACCAACCATGCATAGCTTCAGGGTCCAGGGTCCATCATGGAATCCTTCACTGATGGCAATCAAGACGATGTGATAAAAGTATCATAAATACATAGAATATTATAATAGGTGATGCCATAAAATATTCCATCTTAATGCCATAATGGCATCCATTAAATACTACCTGGAAAGATGCCATAGATTGGATCCAAATCCAGCTGATTGGATGACTCTCCAGGGACCCTGACGAGCACCTGGTACCATAGGGCTTCGCAGCAGCCGCTTTTCTAAGGCTTGCGCCTGCGAGAGAGGTCAGCGTACAGGAAGCAATAAATCTGAAATGATACAACACACCACTCACTGGAGGCAAAACCATGGAAAACACCTGTTTTTGATATGTTCTAGGACACTTTTGCGGTCAATTCCCAAAAAATATGTCAAAGAAACTCTCATCAAATCCCATCCCTGTAATCTTCATTTTTCCAGCATTTTCCCAAGCAAATCTCTCCCTTTTTTAACCCCCCAGCCATTTTTTCCCCACCTTCTCCCAGAGCGCGGTATGGCGCTTGCGCAGTCCGCGCATCTTCTCGCGACTCTGGCGCACCTGGATGCTACGTGAGTTATCTAAGTTATCTAAGTTCTTGCTGATAAATGACTGAGGCGATCTAAGTCACAAGGGGGATCTAAGTTATCCACGTGAGCTTAAAAGTTCTAGAAGTCAGTTTATAAGTTCAAGTAACTTTAACGAAGTTGGCTGACGTTTCTAAATTTGAACTGGATAGAAATGGGCGTTTGAATCCATAGATGGGGGTCTACCAACCCCCCCCAGAAGCCATGGTTAAATAGGTGATGAAACCACGATTTGGGACCATAGAATGGGGTGTGACATATGAATGGGGGGGAAGTTATCTAGCGAACTTTAGAAGTTTTCTTCGTAAACTTGCTAATATATATATATATATTATAAGTTAGCTATACAGCAACCCTTGGTATAAGCTAGCCAAGTTGGTCTCTAACGAGTAGCTTGTATGAGGGTATGATATAGTAATTGTTTGACTATAGTTATAAAACTCCCAATATCCGATAGAATTTAATACCATATCCGATTCCAAAAATGGTGATAAATTGAACCTATTCTCTCTTTTGGGGGGTTAGTGAAATATGTGATAGAAATAGGAATTACCCATCAACAACGGGAACAACAAAATCTGGATGATGGGGATTATATAATTATAATCAGCAATAATGGGAGTTTTTTCATGGAATGAATGACTTATGGTCATCCAATGTCATCCATCCCACGATGGGAATCTACTCATGACGCCCATTTCGTGACACTGGCACATGATGGCACATGTGTCACCAGTGTGCGCAAGGGTGAACACCATGTTTCAGAAACTGCATATCTTTCATGGGTGGGAGCATCTCATGAGAATATGTGTTAAGAGTGTCTGTGTGTGAGTGTTCTGCTTATCTTTACACCTCTTCTCGTATACACTAACACAATCGTACATGTGTATCCATCAAAATGGCAAAAACATAAGCTTTGAACCCACCTTTCACTATTCACTGGGGTTTAACACGGTTTAACCAGGACAACGCAGGTACCCAAACAAACAATGGGAAAAAACAGGGAAAAATACTGTACCATTCCATCAAAACCATGGGGAAAACCAGAAGTTGCTTTCGATGGTGGGAAAAAAAAAGGCCAAGAAAAGATACAGTATGTATTCAACAAATCAAGTGAACAAACAAACAGTCTGGAAAAATAGCCTCCGGAAATCAAACATGGCTTAGGCTGGAAAATCATCAAATTTAGTTTGATGATTTCGCCAGCTCTAAAACCTCGATTTGTAGGGGTGGTGATGTTCCATACGTTCCTACGATTTTCCCTTATATTTCCATAGATCTTATAGGGGGGTTGTGCATTCAAACCTCTATTCCTGATGGGAAGTTGCCATTGAAAACCGGATTTTCTCCCAGACCTCGCGAAGGAAGCACTCCTTCCGCTGTTTGGCGCACACCACCTCGCCTTGCACATCCTGGAACGAGGGGCTTTGGAGGTGCCATAACTATCCATAACTGAGGACCTGGAGATTTTTTGAAGCCATCAACCAGTATATACTAAATGCTTCATTCATTGAATGTATATATATATATGTATATATCTATAGGAAGTAGCAACTCCCAATATCCGATTGAATGGAGTAAAATCTCCGATTCTTTTAAAAAAAAGTGAAGAATTGCAGCTGTTCGGCATCTTTTTTCGGAATGGTATATGAATCCTCGGATATCTCCAGCAGTTGCTGCTCCTATTCCAATGCTAGACACCCCAAGAGAGATTTTCCCATCAAGTTGTGCCTCCAGCTTCATTTCCAGTTCCCGAGCGCGGCGCCTGCCATCAAGACTGGTGGATCCCCGGAAAGGGTGTGGTTTAACTCATAAGAAACCCTGGCTGCCACAGAACCTACATGAACCCAACCCAGTTCTGACGTAAGTCAGGACGGTTGATGCCTCTGGCTGGTCATTAGTGTCAACCCTGGACTTTTATTCATCCCTGGGCTGTTGATCATGGGAGAGTTATCACTCAACCAGGGGTGATTCATCCGGGGTTGACGGTTTACAGGAAATTACAGGAATAGATGTTGATCTCATAAACTCACTATAAAAGCTATCAATCCCATTAACTACATTAAATCTCATTGAATCACCATTGAATCAGCATTTAATCCCATTGAATCACCATTGAATTAGCACGTTTTTCTCATGAAATCACCGTAAGTCCAGGCTTGACCTTGCTCATCAACTTCCCAAAAAAACTCGGCACCTTGATGCTTCCAACGCAGGCTCGGCTTGGCGCAGCTTCACCAAGGCAGGGTTTTGGGCTGCCTGAAACCGTGTTTTTTTCATGGGGATCGAATGGGAAATTTTGGGATCTTAGATGTGATTTATATCGCCTATATAACCTATTATATATATAATGTACCCCGCCCACATAGAATATGCGTTTTTCCAATTATGCAGTTGAACTCGAACGCAACTCCACTTAGAATATACCCCCATTTCGTGCTCATGTGTTTTCTCCCCATTTGAATTATCAACATATCACCCATACTGCAGCATAAATGGACATAAATGGACATTTTTCAATTTTTCACCCCACTAATTTTCGTTTGAATTATCAAAATATCACCCATATTGCAGCATAAATGGACATAAATGGACATTTTTCAAATTGTAATCCCACTAAAATCCTTTGAATTATCAACATATCACCCATACTGCAGCATAAATAGACATATATGGACATGTTTCAAATTTTCACCCCACCAAAATCCTTTGAATTATCAAAATATAATCCGTACTGCAGCATACAAGAACATTTTTCAAGTTTTCACCCCACTATTTTGTTTTGAATTATCAACATATCACCCATACTGCATTATAAATGGACATAAATGGTCATGTTTCAATTTTTTCACCCCACTAAAATCCACCAAAATACCATCAAAATCCTTTTTGAAATTGTTCAAGCTCACCTAAAGGTACCCACCTTGACCGGTGTCGAGGAACTATGAAAGAAAAAAAATATTTTGCAATGAAAACTAATGGAATTAGGTGGTGTTCCTGAAAAAATGGATGAATATTTTCACTGGGGACCTATTTTCTATGTATGTAGTTCTGCAAGGAATCTGATTTTTTCCATGTATAAGGTCATATAATTATCATATACATAATTCCCTTTGGGGAGCAGCAATCCTGGATGTCTGAAGTTCCTAAACTGGAACGTTTCAACAAAAAAACAGGTCCCCCGAAATGATCAATTTCTTTTCATATTGGATTAAAAAAATGAGTTTTTCAGGCTCATCGAAGGGTATCCCCCACGACCGGTGTCGGAGAACTATGAAAAAAAAACTATTTTGCAATGAAAACCAATGGACTTAGGTGGCATTCCTTAAAAATTTGATGAATATTTTCACTGGGGACCTATATTCTATGTATGTAGTCCTGCAAGGAATAGGGTGCCCTTCATGTATTAATTGTTAAATACGTAATTCCCTTTGGGGAGTAGCAACCCTGGATGTCTGAAGTCCGTGAACTTTTTTTCAAGCTCACCGAAGGGTACCTACCCTCTACACCTACCCTCTACGACCGGTGTCCGAGAACTATGAGAAAAGAACTATTTTGCAATGAAAACTAATGGAATTAGGTGGCATTCCTTCAAAAATTGATGAATATTTTCACTGGGGAACTATAGTCTATGTATGTAGTTCTGCAAGGAATAGGGTCCCCTTCATGTATAATTATTAAATACGTAATTCCCTTTGGGGAGTAGCAACCCTGGATGTCTGAAGTCCGTAAACTAGAACGTTTCAACAAAAAAACAGGTCCCCCGAAATGATCAATTTCTTTTTATATTGTATTAAAAAAATGAGTTTTTCAAGCTCACCGAAGGGTACCCCCCACGACCGGTGTCGGAGAACTATCAAAAAATTATTTTGCAATGAAAGCCAATGGAATTAGGTGGCATTCCTTAAAAAATGATGAATATTTTCACTGGGGACCTATATTCTATGTATGTAGTTTTGGAAAAAATAGGGTCCCCTTCATGTATAATTATTATATACGTAATTCCCTTTGGGTAAAACAATCCTGGATATCTGAAGTTCCTAAACTGGAACGTTTCAACAAAAAAACGGGTCGCCCGAAATGATCAAGTTCTGTTCATATTGCATTAAAAAAAGAGTTTTTCAAGCTCACCGAAGGGTACCCCCCACGAACGGTGTCGGAGAACTATGAAAAAAACTATTTTGCAATGAAAACTAATGGACTTAGGTGGCATTCCTTAAAAAATTGATGAATATTTTCACTGGGGACCTATATTCTATGTATGTAGTTTTGCAAGCAATAGGGTCCTTCATGTATAATCATTATATACGTAATTCCCTTTGGGTAGCAGCAATCCTGGATATCTGAAGTTCCCAAACTGGAACGTTTCAACAAAACAAAGGTCCCCGAAATGATCTTTTTTTTTATATTGAATTAGACAAATGAGTTTTTCAAGCTCACCGAAGGGTACCCCCCACGAACGGTGTCGGAGAACTATGGAGAAAAAATAGTTTGCAATGAAAACTACTGGAATTAGTTGGTGTTCCCAAAAGAATGGTTAACGGTTAACTATTTTCATTGGGAACCTATATTCTATGTATGTAGTTCTGCAAGGAATTGGGTCTCTTCCATGTAAAAGTATAAGGATTATATATCAATATATATCATATACGTAATTCCCTTTGGGGAGTAGCACCCCTGGATGTCTGAAGTTCCTAAACTAGAACGTTTCAACAAGAAACAGGTCCTCCGAAATGTTTAATTTCTGTTCATATTGTATAAAAAAAATTAGTTTTTCAAGCTCACCGAAGGGTATCCCCCACGACCGGTGTCGGGGAACTATGACAAGAAAGCATATTTTTGCAATGAAAACCAATAAAATGAATGAATATTTTCACTGGGGACCTATATTCTATGTATGTAGTTCTGAAAGGAATTTGGTCTCTTCCATACAAAAGGGTGTATATGATATACGTAATTCCCTTTGGGGAGTAGCAACCCTGGATGTCTGAAGTTCCTAAACTGGAACGTTTCAACAAAAAAACAGGTCCCCCGAAATGATCAATTTCTTTTCATATTGTATTAAAAAAAAAGAGTTTTTCAGGCTCATCGAAGGGTACCCCCCACGACCGGTGTCGGAGAACTATGAAAAAAAACTATTTTGCAATGAAAACCAATGGACTTAGGTGGCATTCCTTAAAAAATTGATGAATATTTTCACTGGGGACCTATATTCTATGTATGTAGTTCTGCAAGGAATAGGGTCCTCTTCATGTATTAACTATTAAATACGTAATTCCCTTTGGGGAGTAGCAACCCTGGATGTCTGAAGTCCGTGAACTAGTAACTAGAACGTTTCAACAAACGAAAAAAAGGTCCCCCGAAATGATCAATTTCTTTTCATATTGTATTAAACAAAATGAGTTTTTCAGGCTCACCGAAGGGTACCCCCCACGACCGGTGTCGGAGAACTATGAAAAAAAAATATTTTGCAATGAAAACCTATGGACTTAGGTGGCATTCCTTTAAAAATTGATGAATATTTTCACTGGGGACCTATATTCTATGTATGTAGTTCTGCAAGGAATAGGGTCCCCTTCATGTATAATTATTATATACGTAATTCCCTTTGGGGAGCAGCAATCCTGGATGTCTGAAGTTCCTAAACTGGAACGTTTCAACAAAAAAACGGGTCGCCCGAAATGATCAATTTCTTTTCATATTGCAAAAAAACATGAGTTTTTCAAGCTCACCGAGGGGTACCCCCCACGACCGGCGTCGTAGAACTATGAAAAAAACTAGTTTACAATGAAAACTAATGGAATTAGTTGGTGTTCCTAAAAAGATGGTTAACTATTTTCGCTGGAAACGTGCAGAATTGTTATAGGACAGTGAAGAATTTATATGGAAAAATAATGAATTTGTCTGGAAACATGAAAGAATTTATATGGAAAACATATGGAAAAGTGAAGAATTTGTATAGAAATGTGAAGGATTTATTAAGATATATATATATATGGAAAAATGATGAATTTGACTGAACAAGTGAAAGAATTTGTGTGGCAAAAATATGGAAAAGTGAAGAATTTGTATGGAAACGTGAAGGATTTATAAAGAAAAGTGAAGAATTTCTATGGAAAAATGACGAATTCGTCTGGAAAAGTGAAAGAATTTATATGGCCCAACGATATTCTAAGTATAGGTTTTTTGACGTCAACTGTATTCTAAGTATCCTGTTTCAAGTTCAATTATGGGGATGCCCTGGGAAACCAAAATTTCAATTCCATATTCTATGTGGGCGGGGTAGATTATAAATATATACATGTACATGTGTGTGTGTACCTAGACCCTCTGTTTGTACCCATAAAAAGTGTGGTTTACCCTTTAATCTTAGTCCTTTTCCCGTTTTTGGGGTGTATTTGGAGGGTCTAGGTATGTGTGTATGTGTATATATATGGTACCCCCCCTCAAGACCTACCAATTTCACAAAAGTACTGGTATTTACAGTAAAATTTGCTATTTTTGGTATGTAATTTTGGATTCCGGGATTTGGGGGATGTTATATAGTGTATATATACATATATATATATACATAGAGGATTCAAGCCTTGAATCCAACCCTTGTGGGAATCTTGGATCTTGGATCTTGAATCTTGCAAAGAATGCATTCAGAATGCATTCTTTCGGCAGGATTCAAGATTCAAGATTCAAGATTTCTGGGGACTCTTTGGAGCAAATCTTGAATCCACCCCCTGGATTCAAGATTCAAGATTCAAGATTTCTGGGGACTCTTTGGAGCAAATCTTGAATCCGGATTCAAGATTCAAGATTTCTGGGGACTCTTTGGGGCAAATCTTGAATCCGGATTCAAGATTCAAGATTCAAGATTTCTGGGGACTCTGTGGGGCAAATCTTGAATCCGGATTCAAGATTCAAGATTCAAGATTTCTGGGGACTCTTTGGGGCAAATCTTGAATCCGGATTCAAGATTCAAGATTCCTGAGGACTCTTTCCAGCAAATCTTGAATCCAGGATTCAAGATTCAAGATTTCTGGGGACTCTTTGGGGCAAATCTTGAATCCGGATTCAAGATTCAAGATTCAAGATTTCTGGGGACTCTTTGGGGCAAATCTTTAATCTTGAATCTTGAATCCTGGATTCAAGATTTGCTGGAAAGAGTCCTCAAGAATCTTGAATCTTGAATCCTGGATTCAAGATTTGCCCCAAAGAGTCCCCAGAAATCTTGAATCTTGAATCCTGGATTCAAGATTTGCTGGAAA